TAGCAATGGGCATCATCCCTACCAAATCCAACCTCAGACTTCAGAATTCCCATAGTGAGGAAGGAATGGAAATGGAAACCTTGTTTTGCCCAACAACTTTAGTAGAGTGATTATCTTAATTTCTGATTTACAGGTGAGATAACTGGATATTAGACAGGAAAAAGAACTTATCCTGGGATGCAGTTTTTAAATGTGAGAATCTTACATTTGGTCCTGAAAATTGTGTCTTCCAAGGCTGCTTTTTAATTTTTAATTCACGCATAAGAATAGCTATGAAAGGGTCAGTGGTTTAGCTCAGCAGCATAAGTGTCTGCTTGGCAAATGCAAGGTCATGAGTTCAATCCCTGATTCCAATCAATCAATCAATCAATCAATAAATAAATAAATAAAGACTTCAAGAATAGCTGTTAAAAAGTGGAAACATTTAGATGCTCTTCACTGTGATAGTTCAGGGTTTCTTAAGCCTAAGCATTTGAATCACCTGTAGAGTCTGAGAAACCCAGACCTCTGGGCCTCACCCGCAGAATGTCCCAGGCAACAGACTTGGGCTAGGATCCAGCTGTTGGCATTTGTGGTAAGTCCGCAGGTGAGCCTGGTGTTTCTAGCCCAGAGAGCACTACCTTAGTCAGCAGAAGTGTATTACTTAGTTCTGCTAAGTGGCTGCAATGCCAAATACACATCAATAGCTGGAAAGTCTTAAAAGAAATACACTCAGACCTGGGCCCTATCCCAGACTGGCTGAATCACACTTGCTAAAGACAATCTGGGCATCTTAGCTATTTTCTCACTACTGGGATAAAACACTTGACACCCAAAAGTTAAAAGAGGAAAGTTTTATTTTACTTTGGTTTGCAGAGGTTTTAGTCCATAGCTGGCTGGATCCAAGGCAGAGCAGCAAAGCAGCGGCAACAAGACTCCCTTTGCCTTACAAACCTATTGGGTGGTGCCATCCACATGGGGGTGGGCCTTCCCATATTCACACTAGAACTAACCAATGCTAAGCCAATTAGTGGGCTGACTTCATTATCATACACCCTTAATCCATATTCCCACACCTAGATTCAGCCAGCTTTGAAAAGCCCCACCTATGAGTACATGAGCCCATGGGGGGACATCTAGACACAAGCCATAACAGCATCTTTTTTATGGTGCTGCTACTGATTCTGGTACACAACCTACTCAAAGATCAGTGGGTTGTGGCAAACACATGGGTGTTCCAATGCTTGCAGTCAGGAATACAATTGTGTCCCAGATGGTTGCTATGCTTTCTGCAGGTGAACAACTCAACTCTGAGTTTTTCTCCAATTTGATCTTGGGGTCTTCATGTAGGGTAGCTATTAATTCTCTCCATCCCTGACAGGACAGGAAGTCATGGATGTTTATAGCATGCCTGGCATGTGGCTTAATATCCATGTATGTGACCCATAACTAGGCTTTGGCTTGTCTCATTTGTGTCATTTATTCCTACCAGGGAGTTAAGTGCTCTTTAGGAGAACCCTGACTGGGAGAGAGCTGGGTTCAGATGCGTCTGGCACAGGAGACACACTGAGGAAATGAAAACAAACTGAGTGAGATCAGGATGCTGGTAGGAAGTCTAGCCAGGAGGCAGCAGGAAGCTCAACCAGCAAGTGGGGAACACAGGAAAGAGAGGGCCTATGGGACCAAATGTGCCTGGATGCAGCATCACAGGTCTGTCCCTATGGCTTTGTCAGGAGGCTGTGGGATTGCAAAAGAAACCATGTGCAAAGCGGGGAATGTATGCTCGTGACTCTGGTATTCACAATCAGGTTAATTTTGCGATCAGCCCTTGAGGGTGTGCTGAGTTCTTGGATCATTGGGATGAGGAACAACTGGGCTGTTCCTCAAACAATCACGCAGGGAGAGGGAGTTTTAAGGAAGCCAAAGGTGACAAGATACCACCAGCTTCAACTTACTGCAGGACTAAAAATTATCAGCACTGATACAGGGAAGAACCACAAGGGAGAAAATAAACAAAGTGGCAGAGAAACATGAAGTGACTTCCCTAAGGTTGTCAGGGCAGAGCAAATAGGAATTAGCAACACAAGGCTTCATTTCCCCTGCCTGTTGAAAAAAGAAAAGAAACTCCCCAGCCCTGACATTTTCCTAAGAGATATGAGAAGGGTTTACTAGCTTAAGATACAAGACACACACGAGTGGAATGTGGGTGCTCAGAGAAAGAGGCACCTCTGACTTTTCTTAAGGACATCTACCTAAGAAAACGTGTTCCGTCAATTCAAGTGCATTTTAGTGTTTTAAAAAGCTAACGTCTCTTGCCTTGTTTAAGAGGCAGGCAGTCTTTCTCAAGGACCCAGGAACAGCCTCTTTGAAACGTAACCTCAAGGAAGATTACAGGAACTCCCAATGTGTGTGCGTGTGCGTGCATGTGTGTGCATGTGTGTGTGTGTGTGCACATGTGCAAGACCGTCCTACCTTCAGCAGGTGCCTTGCTGTGATTTTTGTTCAGGATAAAGCAAACTAATGAATGAGAATGGTCACCCCAATTTAGGATGAACTGTGTGTTTGACAAACAAGTGCCAGGTTCACTTATTCGAGGATTTGTTATTTTTTATGGAGAGTGGACTACATTAGCTTGATCATGAGAGGGCGATACTCCTGCCTCTGCAGTCTTCACAGCAGGTTGCCTGTGATAAGCCTTCCTTCTGGTGTCATGCTTACTCAACAAGAAAACTGCCTTCTTTATGTTTTACTTTTTGTGGAGAAGTTGTATGAGTGAGATATTCTCAGTTTATTTCTCCATCACAGGGAATCAGGGAGTTAGTCACAAGAAGGGCCCCTGGATTCGGGGCTGGTGTTTCCCAAGAGCATGCTGCGATCTGTCTGCTCTCATGGAGTGACTGGGTCTGTTCTCCCTCCAGGGAGTCCACAAGTTCCATGAGGACAGAACTGTGACTCACACATTTCCTGTCACTTGTGCAGTGACCAACAAAGTGCAGGAACACGGCAAATACTCCAAGAAAACACGTTGAAGTGCTGAATTTTGAAAAGGTTGGTCAAGTGGATTTCAGTCATAATCCATGCCGTGGTTCCCGCGTGGTCTGGGTGTCTCCCAAGGCGTCATGTGTAGACACATCGTGTTTAGGGTGAGGGTTTTGAGATGCAAATAGAACCAAATAAAGTCACTAGGATGAAGTTCCCATGACTGAATCCTGGAGACTAAGAAGGGACGGGACACACAGATGTGCTCTGTCTCTGGCCGTGTGATGTCCAGAGCCCTTGACCATAAGATTATCCCCTGTATCACTGGCCCCTCAACTTTGAACTTCCGGTGAGTCAAGATGACCCCCTTTTCTTTGTAAAGTTATCCAACCTCAGGTAACACCAATCACCATCTATGGGGGCTTCAGTACAGCAAAACTCTGGAAGTCCTGGCCTTGAAAACTAGTTAGTTTTTGCCTGGTTTCAGTTTCTTGATGGTTAGCCTAACACCTAAATCAGGCTAAACCGAAGCAGATCATCAAAGCAAGCAAAGTTGAAGCAACAATCAAGGACCTTATCGCTGACCAAATGCAGTCAGGCGGAGGGCAGAAAGACAGCCGGCCTTGAGCAAGGGCTGAGGAAGTGTTCTTATAGGGGTGTTTAAGTAGGCGAGGAAGGTATTGCTGAGGTGTGCATAATTTTGGGTCACTGAGTAGGGGAGTCTAAGGCTTTGGTACAGGGGCTGCTGGCAGGCACGGCATGTCTTGTTTGTTGTGGAATCAACTCTTTGCAGCCTGTGTGGGGAAGCTGCCGGCTTCCTGTTGAACGCCATGCCCCGCTAGGTGCGAGTAACTCATTTGTTTGGGGGAGTTGTGTCTCTCCTACTCGGGCGGGGGTCCAATTCAGAGACCTGATATTAGGAGGGACACACACATACACACACACACACACACACACACACACACTCCACTGCCAACAAAACCTATATGCTGTTCGGTGTGTAGATTTCCTGGGATGATGACCGACTGAGGACATGAAAATTCTTTGTAACACCAGTACTCACCACGAGCCGAAACATACCAAGAGCAAGAGCGTCCACACGGTAACAATTATTTCACTGATGAAGGAACTGGGCCCAGTGAAGTAATCTGACGCCACACAGCTGGCAGGCACAGCTGATATTGCATGTGACACTGTCCTGGTGACTGCTGTGCCACTACCTGCCTGGACAGTTATCACCTACATGGACTGGCCTACCCTGTCCAGCAACTGCCCCTCCTTGGGCTCCTCTAGTTTCTTCATAGCTGGTTTCTTTGTGGCTCAATTCTGAGCCATTTAGAACAGCAGTGAGTGTAGAAGCTTCCAGGAGACCGAGGCGGGCTGGGGAGGGAGGTTAGCGGGGCTGAGGACAGTGCAAAGGCCCTAGGGGACACTGGGCGTGACGCGCTTCAGGCTCGTGAACCCGCAGCTGTGCAGCTGGGAGCTGGCACAGGAGGGTCAGGCCAGGAGGGCTACTGCAAGGGGGCGGAGGTGTCTGTTAGCAGAGCCCCACCAGAAGCCTGGGTCTTCAGCGGAGTCCCTCAACCCCTTGCTAATACTTCAAAAGGGGTGATGCCAGAACTCGTGGCGTGGCCGTGGACTCCAGGCGACCCTGCTGCCTCAGGGGACACCTACCCACCCAGAGACTGAGCTGCGTTTACTGAGGCCTATGTCCTCAGCGGCTGGCAACCCAGGTCCGCGGGGGCCCCGCCCACCACCGGCTCGCGGTACACCAGCAGCCCGAGCCTGGGGACAGTCCGAGAGAACTTGCTCCTTTATTTCGGGTCAGCCTCGCGAAAACCAGGGCGGGGCGCTGCTGCTGCTTTCGGGGGCGTCGGCGCGGGCTCTGCCTGCGGCTCCGGCTCCCCTTCCGCGTCGCTGGCCTGAGAGCAGCAGGCGCGTGGCTGAGCGGTGAGGTCTCGGAGCTGGGGCGCACTGCTACCCCGGACCTCGCCGCAGCTCCTCCAGGTCTGACCCGGCCCCTTGCCTCCGTCCTTGGCTCCTGGGGCGCTCCGGGACCGTCTCTCCAAGCTCTGGATCTCCGCTTCCGGACTGTGGAGGAGAGAGGAGAGGAAGCCACTGATGCCCATAGAAGCCTGGGCACCCCGAAGGTGGGGACGAGGTAGGGTGAAGCCTCACCCGCCTGTCGCTGCCGGGGCGCCCCCGAGCTCGGGCGCCGGGCGCAGCCGCTGCTCCACCTCCTGCAGCCGCGCGCGCACCAGGCTCCCTGCGGAAGGGGCGGGGTCGTCAGGGCGCCCGAGCGGGGTTCCCCTCCCCGCCAGGCCGCTCACCCTGCGCCCGCAGCTGCTCCTGGCTGCGCTCCAAGGCGCGGATCTCGCGGGCCAGTCGCTGCTCCAGAACCTGCGAGGACAGAGGAGGCCTGTCCGCCCTCCTGACGGTCCTTACCTTCTTTGGGTCACTCATTCATTCAAATATGAACTAAGTGCGCGGGTTCTGCAGTGGCCCGAGCCCCAGTTCACCCAGTCGCTCATTGCATCTCTCCCTCCGGGTACTCAAACTTCATTTAGGCTCACGCTCCCCACCTCCCGCGCCCCCTGCTGGCCGTTCTGAAAATGCGCCAAGCAGAGGTCAGCTGGGGCCCTGCATTGCATCCACCTTCTCTCCTGCCAGGAGCCTCTGAACCCACACACCTGCACGGCTTCACCCACACAGCTGCACCTCTCTCTCTGTCTCGTTTGCTCCCGAAATGACGCGCTCTCTTATTTTCCTGGTAGAGTCTGTCCCAAGCTAGCCTCCCCCTTCCAGCCTGGGGGAGAAGGCTGCCTCGCCCTGCCCTGCCCTGCCAGGAATGGCCCAATGCCACCACAGGGAACCAAGGCTCTCTAGGGGCTCCCGCTCGCCACTGTCAGGTGACCTCTGTAGGACACCAGGGAAGCCGGCTTTGCCATGCGACTGCGATGTAGTAGCAGTGGGGCGTGATGCAGAGTGGGCCGACTGAAGGTACGAGGGGACAGGGGCACAGGAGTCAGGAACCGTCCCGTGGCCTTGGGTCTGAGCAGGCCAGGGCACCGGGCAGTCAGCAAAGACACTGAGGTCAGAAGAGGCTTCGTGGAGGGCGACGGCAGTGGCTCACACGGAACTCCCAGAGGGCCTTGTGCCGGGCCACCGGATCCTTCAGCTGCTCTTCTGCAGCCGACCTGGGGGCCAACAGCAGGGACACGGATCACACGCCAGGCGCACAGCCAGCAGCACGGCACCAGGCGCCTCGGGCCCAGGCCTCCAGGTCCTGGCTGCTGGGAGCTGATGCCTGGGTAGAGAAATGGCGGGTGCAGGAGAAATAACGCAAGAACCGGAACATTTGGGATAAATAACAGGGAATAGTGGAGAAAGGATTAGAGGCGTAATGGGAGGAGCCAGAGGCTGGATGGGTGGGTGGTGAAGCGGTGAGCTGAATGGAGAGACAACTGGGAAGACGGGACAGCGTGACTGCGGGGTCGGATGCTGAAGATGTAGCTGCCCGTCTGGATGCCCCAGTTAAGTAGATATAGGACAGGTGAGATAATGAACCGGTAAGAGTGTTCGTGGGCAGGTAGGCAAATGGATGCATATGCAGAGGCCAGTAAATAGATGGCAGAGGCTGGGAAGCCAACAGGACATAGAATAACACCAGTGGGCAGCGTTCATTTAATCAACAAACTAACAAGTGACTGCACGGCTGAGCCAGTCTTACACCCCTAAAGTGGGCAGTGGGGGAAGACTTGCCTGCATGCTGGGTTTTATAGAACAGGAAGTAAGGCGTGTGTACCTGAGACTTAGCACTCTATATCTGGTTCTCTCCCCCTTGGGATGGGTGGAGAGGGGGGTCTGGGGAAGGGCACTTACCTCGGAGCCCCACTTTCTTGGGCCTGGCGATGCTGCTGGAGGATCCTCAGTGCCTCTGAGGAGAGAGGAAGCTGATGGCCCTGCCTGGGGAGGGGAGTGTGGGCAGAGGGAAGGGGCCCCAAGTCGCAGGGGGCACCCAGGACTCGGGATGCGAGGAGGCCACTAAGACAGAGATCTGAGCAGAGGGGGCATCCGAGCCCAGGACTCAGTGAGGCTCCTCCAGCTCTTCTGGAGAATGGGGGTTGGTGGAGCAGGGGTGGGATGAGAAGACACGGCAGCAGGTGCCTACCTTGCTTTTTGTTCAAGACCTCCTCTAGGTGCAGGTTCTCTCCATTCACTGGAAAGCACAATGCCACTTTTAGCCCGGGGGCCACATCTCATGTCCCCACTGCAACTTCATGCAGAAGGCAACATCACAGGGCCCTAGAGGAGTGCCACCCTGCACCATCTCACTGGGACTGTACTGATCCAGCCTCTCCCCTTCTGTGCACACCCCCATAAGTGCCCAAGGGGTAAAGACCCAAGAGAATGCAGAGTTTACACTGAGAGAAGCAAATATCAAGTCAGATAGGAATAAGGTTCTGAAAGCGACATCAAGCAGTAAAATGAGAGGACAGAGAGATGAAATCCTCAAAACAGGCCTTTCAGGGCCATGTGAGCTGAGAGCTGAAGGATGGCATGATATAGCAAGAGGTCCTCTAGATTACGTGGGCTCAGAGCATTGCAGACAAGGAACAGCCCACGCAAAGGCCCTGAGGCAGGTACAAGAATATCAGCAGTGATTGGGGCTGGGGATTTAGCTCAGCGGCATAAGCGCCTGTCTTGCAAGCAGGCAGTCATGAGTTTGATCCCTGGTACCGATAAAAAGGAAAAAGAAAAAAAAAAAAAAGAGTATCAGCAGTGATCATAGGCTTTCTGGGTCCGTTTTCCAGCCCCACTTACAGGAATCCAATTCCCTATTCAGGGCCTCCCAGAGAGCTTGCGTCTCTCCCAGTTCCTCGCCGGATTTCTTCTTTGCTGGGCCAACGAAGAGAAGATGCTGAGTGCAACTTTGCTCTTCTCCCCAAAACTATAACGTTACACACTCATCTTCAGACAGCCTCCCAGGAGGACTGGGCTTTCTAGATAAAACGCAGGCATTCAAAGTCCAGGCCCTTTCCGCTGGTTCCAGTTGGCCCGAGTTACCTTGCTGAAGCTTGTAGATCCGGTGAATGAGATCCTCGATCTGTGGCTCCAGGGTCCCCTCTGAAGAAAGGAAGAAGAGTTGAGCCAGAGGAGGCAGATGCCTGGCTGCCTGGGAGGTGGGGTGGGGTGGGCACTGGTGCTGGGGTTCTGCTGCTTGTCCACTGACAAGCATCTCCTGAGCACATGTGGTTTGCTGGGCTCTACCACGGGCCTTGGCAGGGCTCGCTGGGTGAGCGTGGTGTGTGCTGAACGGAGGCCCATGAAGCCATTTGGGTGGCTGTCAAGGGAGATATTGTGAAGTGAGGTACGGGAGAATAGAAGGTAAAAAGGGGCTTTGCTTCTTGAGGAAGGAAGGATTCTGAATCAAGGGAGCGAAGCAGGCCCTGTGGTGCCTGGGGTAGAGGGAGGAGCGGGAGCCATCAGGGGCAGAGGGAGCGTGGGCTGAGGCAGGAGTGCGGAGAAGTGAGGAGAGGCTGGTGCAGCTGGAGTCCAGCAGGAAGGTGGGAGGATCAGGGAACAGTGGAAAGAGAGGTGACGCCGAGTCTCCAGGGCCACTGCGGAGGCTTAGGGCCAGAATTCTGCATGTGGCGGGGCACAGGGCAGATGTCTCACCTGCCCTTCCCTCTTAAAAGTGCCAGCTGCCACTTCTATCAGTGTGAACGCTAGCACTGGTCTCAGCAAAAGGAGGGAAACACTGCTCTCATATTGTAGGTGGCAGCTTGCAAGTGTCCCAGTGACAGGAGATTACTGTCCTTTCTAACTTCTACACAGTGCCTGCTTCAGGGTTCTGCAGGAAAAGGCTTCCTCTTCTTCCCTCTCTGGCTCTAAAGATGGAGACACAGAGCTGGGAAATAAGGCTTGACCACCTCTGCAGAGTCTCACTGCTGCCTGTAAATCAGTCTGAAGTTGCTAAGCTCAGGCCTCAGGTTGTCTGAGGTCAGCAACTCTAGCTCCTGTGAAGGCCAGAAGGGCGCTCTCCACGGTGCTGCTCACAAGGCACAAAACTCCCTGGAGGAGAGAAGTATTTTTGCTTTACTGAAGATGGACAGGTCATCCATGCACTTCGGTCCCTGCACATTTTCACTCCTGCAATTTCTGTGCATAGTTTTAGTGCATTCGTACACACAGCCCCAGTGCATTCGTACACACAGCCCCAGTGCATTCGTACACACAGCCAGAGTAGGGACAAGAGAGCTCTCGTTGGCAGCAGACAGCTGGATGGTAGCACCTGAAGCTGAGAATAAGCACGGGTCTAACTTTACACCCAACCAGCACTCTGCTCCATCTCTGATGTGAGTACTGGATGCATGCTTGTTCCCAGATTCTTCTCAACAAGCGAAGCATGGGGGCAGAGCAACCTGCACTGCCATTTGTACATAAAAAGGCAAGACAAACGGTATACCCCAATGAGTACATATTTTTAAAAAAATCTCTAGAAAGATACTTGACAATGTTAATACAGCTGTTGCTAGCTCATGGGTCAGGGAAGTGGCTGACTGGTGTGTGTGTGTGTTCAGAGTAGGTTTTTCCATCCTCTTAGGCTCCCTAAAGTTTAAACAATGGGAATGTATTATATGGGGGTGTACTTAAGGTATGTAAGAGGGAGGAAATGCAATGAGATGATTTGCCAATATTGTGAGTCATGAAGTCTGAGTTTGAACCATATTTGTTCGATTCAAAACTCTGCCGGCACCTAGACACAAGATACATGACCTTTCTGCAGCTTTTCCACCATTGACAGTAAGTCTTCAGGCTTCTTCAAAAATCCAGCCTGACCTGCAGAAATGAAAACCAGAATTAACAGGGCCAGCGACAGCAAGGGTAGGTTCAGGCCCATCTGGAAAGGGAGGAAGGAAGTCCCCCGTGGGCTCTGCGGACAGCTCTGGGCTGGAGGCCAAGGTGAGCTCATGGCCAGGCTCCAGCCAGAGCAGCACCTGTGCAGGACCCGGCTCCTCTGTCTCTGAGGTTCCCGGTGTATGAATCAGGACCTCTAATGGTCAGTTACTCTGGATGGGGTCAAAAGAAACCTCAGCTATCACCTTGATGAAACTTGGCCAGGGACAGATACATACTCTGGCTGGCATTCAACAAAAAGCAGTCGTGTGGGCAGATTTCATTAAAATCATTACTGCCTGTAATGTGCCAATTCTGATGAATGAATACGTCTAAAAATGGTCATTCCTGGCTCCGTACATTTAAAAACAGATGGCTGCATATTACAGGACTTCTGATGAAAGAACATAACCCTGTTTACATAACCCTGTTTTGCAGAAAGGGCTGCAAAAAATAGATAAATCAAAATAAAAACATACTGCCTTTCCTATTTTAATAGCAACCTAGAGGAAATGCACAGGACAAGTGACCACCAATAGACGTGATCAGCATCAAACTGGGAAACCCAACAGAGAAAAAACTGCCAAGAAGAGACGAAGTGGGAGGGGATGTATTACAAAGACATGAGGCTGTCTCAGCCAGCGGCAATGAACAGACCTCATCTGATCTGCACACACGTGTGCTCTGCATCATACACACTTCACTACATTTTTAACGTGAGCCTTTGCCACTTTTCAAATTCAGTAATACAAAGGGAAATATTTTTTTATGTTATAAACATCTTGAACTCTCTAAGACAATGATACAAGTCAAATCACAGGGACCTGTGCCACTCCAAGAAAAAGTAGGCAGTGAAGAATGACAGCTCAAAAGTTGGAAGGCGCAGGGAAGGGTGAGGGATGAAAGGACGATTTAAATAACACGTGTTCAGTATAAGTGCCAAGTGATACACACAATCATAGCAGACTACAAACGTGTACTAGCAAAAAGTAAGTAAACAGAACAACTACTCATAAACACACAGCAGCTACAAGGAGACTGCAGAAATGCTTATCCAGCCAGGGTACACTGTGAAAGCCCCTCAGCTACAGACGGGCAGCTTCCCCATTCCTCTCCTCAGAGATCACTGTTCCAAGCTATGTAATTCTGCGAGCATACGTTCCATCTTCTATGGAAATGCTAGTGTCTCTTAGGTGATGTTTCATATCTTGCATTCATTAGACAATGCCTACCGCTGCATAGTGTTTTGCTTGTTTCCCTAAGAGCAGTCTCCTACTTTGAACACTTAGGTTCTTTCCCTTGTTTTGCTGTTGCGGACAATTCCACTATGATAATCTATATTCATTTTGTCATCTTCTGTACCAAAGTACCACAGATGGAGTCTTCTGAGTGTCATCTCATCCCTTTCTCTTTAGGGGTCCATATTTATTTATTTTTGTTATTTAAGGACACTAGCCCTTGAATTATGGCCCACCATAATCTAGAATGACCTCATCTTAAATTGCTATATCTGCGAAGACCCTATTTTCAAATAAGGTCACAGTTTGAGGTTCTAGTGGATATATATATTTGGAGAGGGACACAATTTCACCTGGTACACCATCCTTGCACTTTATTCTGAGTGCTTGTGTCAGAGTGTATCTACTCAACACACCTAGGATACTGCCCAGGTGTCTTGATTACTTTTCTCTTGTTCCTGGGACAAAATACTTGACCCTCTAAGTTAGAGAAGGAGAGGTTTATTTAACTTACAGTTTGGGGAGGTTTCTATCCATACTCAGCTGGCTCCAAGGCTGGGTATGTGGTTAAGGGGCAGCTGTTTATGGGGGTCACAAGAGAAAAGAGCAAAAGGGCAAGGCAAAAGCATGTCTCCTTTCTTCCTTATATTGTATACCAGCTGCCTGCCCCTGGATGGCTGCAGCACTCACAGCACTAATCCCAGCACTAGACAATGAACCAATCACAATGCCAGATTCAGCCATCTTTAAAAGGCCTGCCCTCGATGACTACATGAGGCTTTGGGGGGACATTCAAACACAAACCATCATACCAGACTACTTGCCACATCAGAATGTCTATTGTCAAATTTGACTGATATCTTGAAATTGTCTCTTACCTTTTTCAGGCTCACAAAGTAACCTTTCCATATCTTATTAGCCGTTGTGATTTTTTATTTTTTATTTTTTTGAGACAGGGTCTTGTTATGTAGTCCAGGCTGGCTATAAACTCACAGTAATTCTTCTGCCTTAACCTCCCAAATGCTGGGATTCCAGGCATGCACCGCCATGCAAGTTATGTTTTTAATCATTTCTATTTTTTGCCAGTCTGAGAGGCAGAAAATAGTTTCATTCCAAACTTTCTGGTAGTAAATATCAAAGTTATCTCATGTCTTCTGGATCAGAAATTCCATTCTTAGGAATCACTCTAAGAGGAACAGTTATGCATGGTAGGCAACTGTTCATTGTTAGTAACCCTAACTGTGGAAGTAACTTGAATATATCTTTGGGGATTATTTACTGCACATTTGGAAGATGAAATTCTTTACAGCCATTAAAATTATATGGTAAGTTATTTTTAACCTGAGCTTATTAAATTTTGTTGAAATGTCTGGTGACATTTTTTTTTTTTTACATCTTTTTGCCTGGCCTGAAGTCTTTCATAAATTACAATGCATTAGTTTAATTTTGCATTTTAATTTTCTCATTACCTATAAACAAATATAGAATATGGAAATGAAAATTAAAATCTCCTGTCACCAACAGACTCTTCTCTAAGCCTGTCAGCCTTCCGGAATCACTGCCAGTTTACTGACAACGTCCAAATCTTGTAATGTCATACATTGTTTTCTAACTTTCTTACCCAAATAACATTCAAGAATTTTACACACACATCACAAAAACACATGAATTTAAAAATAAAACTTTCCCTTTCTTCTTTGGGCCTAAATCTTGCTGTTCAGAGATAATCACCAGCAGCAGGATGTTTCCTATGGATGCATTTTAAGTATTTAGACTTTAGTAAATATATGGCAAGGTGTTTGTGATTTAATGTTTTAGGAAAAATTTCAAAGGGATATGAAAGGACATAGGAAGTGATACCATGCTGAACTCTACTGTACTGACCCATATCTGACATTGTTAATATTCATCCATATTTGCTTCAGTTGTATTTTTATTGTGTTAAAAATATCTTCAAGTAAGTCTTGACAGGCTTCTTGACATTTCATTTCTAGGTACTTCACTGAGTCTCAACTACTTAAGGACATTTTCTAGTGACTCCCAATCCTCCCCAACAAGGTGAATAATCAACCTCTAATCAACTCTGAGGCCATATAAAAGTTTTCTTGATCATCCCCACATCTTTCACAGCTGGTTTTTACAACTTTCTGCAAAAGCTCCATCTGTATTTTTCTTCTTTACTGGAATTAGTCATACGATAAAGCCAAGGGCTACTGGTAAGTAAATCTTTGAAACAATCTAACGTCTTCATAAAAAATGTTGAATTCCATGTCACAAGAGAAAACAGTCTTCAGAGTGAGTTCCCTTTTAAATATTTTATTTTGAAATAGTTTCAGATGTACACAAAGTTGTAGAAATAGGCCACAGTGCTTCCACCTAACCTTGTATCAGATTCCCTATCTTGGTTTTTGTACTGTAAGTGGCCAACATTATGGCCCATTGCTCCTTAAGCCTAATGTGTACTTCCTATATACAGAGAGAATCTGCAAAGTAACCACAGTGCAACCATAAAACTAAACCTCTGGATCGTAATCCCGATCCAATGTTAATGTATGATCCTTGGGCGGGGTGTGTGTGTGTGTGTGTGTGTGTCTTTTCCCTCTCCTCCCTTATATTTTAAAATTACATAAGATAACCTAAACTTTTCCAAAAGAAATATAAATCACACAAATGCCTCCACCTCTTCAACACCCCCAAAATTTGAGTCCTTTGTCCAGTTATCTGATAAGCTGTTTTCAGCTATTTTCCTGTTTAACACACAAAAGACTATATATACTTCACATTTCTCCTTTCTATTCTGGGCCCAGCTGGCTTACTTGACTTTTTTAAAGAGCTCTTTCTTTAACTTTTTTTCATTTTCTTGAGAACAGGATCTCACTACGTAGACCAGGCTGGCTTGAACTCATAACAATTCGATTACCTCAGCCTCCCAAGTGCTGGGATCATAGGCATTTGATACCCATGCCTGGCTGAAAAATGATTTTACCCATTAAAAATTACTTTTATCTGCCTTTCAAAGAGAAAAAAAAAAAAAAAAAGAATCCACCAGCTTCCTTCCCCTCCCCCTCCCTGCACTCCAGTGTATGTGGACATACAGATTTGGCCATTTCTATGAATATTCCTTATTTGACCTCCTTTAACACTCTAGTAATCACTCCTGGGCCATGCAACTATGTACTTTCCTATAATTACTTAACATGGTGATTGCAGATGTGGAAAGTATTTTAGACACTACAAATACTCTTCCCAATTGCCCACAGCAAAACCTTTATTGGGCATTCCCTTTCCCAGTGAGGTAAGAGAAGGTATATATTGCCTCGGGATCATCAGTGCTAGATATTACCCCCTTCTTTACATAAACCTCATGTGATGGGTTAGAAATCCTCAGTGTTTTTCAGTATTCTCCATTGCTGAAGATAATCACAAATTCAATTTTGAAGCAATCTGAAAGGTAGTTTTTTTTTTTTTTAAATCACAGGTAGCTATACTATATACTTAAAGTATCTGTCTAATTTCTATCCTTTTTTTCTCTTTTGAAAGTTGGCTCTAAGACAACACTTTGAGTTAAAGTTACTTCATTATTCACCCATCAAAAATTACAGACCACCATGTGTGTGCCAACTATGCACTGCTTTAGGTACTGGGGAGATGGCAGTAAACTGTCTTTGTTCTCATGGAGCTCACGCCCTAGGACAGGTAATAGACAAGTAAGTAATTACCTTGATGTCTGTAAGCCTAAGTTTGACAAGATATAATCTTATGTGTTTATTATTATACTGATTTAAAGAGTGCAGGAAAGTAAGAGACAGGTAAAGGGCAGGAAATTGAATGTCTATTGAATCAAGAGTGACAGTTACATGGATATTCCTCATGCTATTTTCTCTACTTGGCTGTATTTTGAAAATCTCTTTAAAAAATTGCTAGAGGCATACTAGTGGATTACCTTGGGGACACACCTCCCTTCCCATGGGTCTACAATTTCCAATAGTGTCTAGGATAAATTACCACTGACCTCACCTGGGTGATCAATTGTCATCATCAAACATGTCAAATTTGAGAAGAGCTATTGTCAATTAAGAATCCATTTAGTGTTACCTAAGCTGGGTGCGAAATGCTGATATTGGGAAGATCAGCTTATTTTCTTAGGCGTGCCAAAAGCCAGATGTTTATTTTTTTTCCTTAACCTTTTGCCCTGTTACATTTGAAGAGATACATATGAACTATTTAAAATAATTACAATTACTTAAAAATAATTGAACAAGTCAGTAAGATTGACAAAAGTTAACCTAGGTGATGAAAATGTGCATGTTATTTATTTCCACTTTGTGGAACAGTTCAGTTTCAGTAATAAGAGGTTTAAAGTTTTACTTTTTTCAAAAAGCTACTGCTGCCATCATTTTGTTATGGTTAACTACAGGGTCGAATCCTCCCTCCCTTCTGTCCTCGGGAAGGAAGAGAGCGGACCACCGGCCCTCACTACCTTCACCCTCCTCCACGGCTTCCGATGACTCTTCCTTCAAGCACTCCAGGTTCTCCGCCATTTTCCAACGCGAGTCTTGCTCTAAAGCCTTTAACGATTGGTTTAAAAAAACAAAACACCCGGACAAGCGAAAGGTAGTGCGCATGCGTGCTAAACAACTCGCCATTTGCTAACAGGGGGCAGGAATATCCACTGGGGTATCCACTGAGCATGTGCAGAGCATCTGTTGCGCCCCCCCCCCCCCAACACCACCACGCATGCCTATACTCACCAGGCCCTAACTGCTTTTAGACAAACAATACCGTTGTATTGGACAGTTGGGGAATGAAGTTGTACACACGTGCAAACTCTCTGGAAGATCTTTCTGGAAGATTTTGTGTTGTTGCAGGTTGCCAGCATCTGGGTAAACGTGCATGTGATGTGTAGTGGTATGTGAGTTTGAATCCCTCCCTTTCTGTTTGCGAATTTTCATTACGGCCCTTGGGAGTTACTGGTGCGATCGTTAATAAGATGAGCTTCAGAAGCAGATTACACCTACTTTCTGTATACCTTGTGTTACTGTACACCTTGTGCTACACAGGTGGGTACCGGAAGCTCCTTTCTCATTAATACTTGAAGCAGCTGTCATTAATGTGGCTCATTTTGGAGGCAGGATTCAGATAAGGGGCAAGGGAAAATTCTAATGGGCTTAATTTTAAGCCTTTTACGTACTTTTTCCTTTTTCTAAATACCCTCAGGCTGGTTATGGGCACAGGCTGACCCTGCATTCCCAATTCTAGAACTCCTACCACCCACCCTGGAGACCTGGCCTGCCCTGTGCATTCTGGGCTCAGTTCAATTGGAAAGCCTTCTGAAGTGAGTTTAGAGGGGACAGTCCCTGACAGAGGCTGGACCATCTTCCACGGTGAGGAGGTGAGGCAGAGTGTGGAGACCTAGTACTTTCTGTAGAGGTGCAGGTACATGAAGGGTCTAGAAGGGCTCGCTGGGCCCCTGGCTGCTGCCACCCATCTCCCATTTGTGGGCAGCTGTCATATCTTGGCCAACTGCTCAGAGAGACAGGTATCAGCCACCAACAAATCCCCACATTTTTAGGGCAGAGACAGAAGGCAGAAGCCAAGGTGGGCCACTTCCAGCAGTCTGAGCACTACCATTCAGAGTCCAGTGAACAAGCCATTGTGGGGAGCCTGGTCCGCAGAGCTGGCTGGGGGTGTGGAGTACTTGGGTGGGCATCGGATGAAGAGTCGGTCCTCCTCTTTCTTCACCCAGCGTAGGAGTTTGGTCACTACCAAAATGGCACCAGCTTTGGTCACCAGGGGGCTGAGGCAGGTATAGAGCTCGAATTTGGAGGTCACCTATGGGTGTGAGAAAAGGCAGTCAGGACAGAGCTGACCATGGACCATCCTGTCTCACCTAACCCAGCCCCATGTTTGCCTCCTGCAGCCAGAAGATGTCCTCGGCAGAAATGCCCATCTGGTCCTGCTTCAACACTAGGCTATGACAGGGAAGCTGATATTTTTGGGTCACTGTTGGGCCAGGGGCTCTTGGTTGGGCCTAGAGATTAGCGGAACCCCCTGGTTTCAATTGGGTGATGGAGGCTGGCTGTGTGTGGTTTCTCTTTGGCCTTCAGGCTATCTATGGGTTGGGGATAAAAATAACAATGCTTAATGTTCAGTAAGTGATCGCAGTGGTGCCTCAGTTCATGAATTTCATTCTTGCCACGATTCTGCTTGCAAACATAACTGGACGAGAACTGAATCAAATGTCCCCATAAGGGCAACACTGAACCTAATCACTGAATTTGATTCAGTTCTCATCCAATTTGGTTTACGACCAGAATGGTGGCACAAATTAAATATGTGGACCGAGAGGCACCACTGTACTGTACAAAAGGCCCTGTTCTGTGCTCTATGGGACTGTTTTTTATCATTCACAGCCTGGGCAGAATATAAAGAACTCAATTTCATCCTCACACCAACCTGAGAGACTGTCTTCAAAAGTACCAAAGCCAACACACACACACACACACACACACACACACACCCCGGTGAGCTATTTCAGAGTAAGACCAGAGAGACAATAAATCAATCTACCTTGTCATTTGGGACTGGATTCCAGAAAAGTAAAGGGACAGAGATAGGATAACTGATAAAATCTGAATGAAGTCTCTGAGCTAAATATTATTGAACCAGTTTATAACTTCCTGTTGTTTGGTAGGTTGGTTTCACCGGATGTTAACCTTTGGAGAAATTAGGTGAAGGAACTTTTAAAGGGAAGTCTTTGTACTATATTTTTGCAACTTCTAGGTCTAAAATTATTTGAACATTAAAGTTCAAAGTAAGTTTTAAATCCTTAGCCTAGATCAAGTCCCGGTACACAGCAAATATACAGAAAATTAGTGAATAATAAAGTTGCAGAGCCCCGGAAAGGTGCCATTTCTATGCAGTCAGATCATCTTGATTGGCCTTCTTCTATAGCTGACCTTTACAGATCTTCAGGATATGACGAGCCCAGGGAAGAATGGACACCCCCAGAAAGGGCACAGCGTTGCACCAAGCCTGTGGTATTCACAGAGTGCTAGGGACTCACGGAATCAAAACTGCAGGGGTGGGAAATGGAACTGGCAGGCAGTGATGGTTGTAAATGGGGTCTCTTGAAAGTCAAAGATACTATACTGGCTGCTAACGGAGGAAAAGCAAACAGCACAGGCATAATGTAGGGTTGGAGGCAGTAAGGAATCCTTCTGAGGTTCAAAGGTGCATGTGTAATGGCACAGCTAAGAGCTCCAGGTGAGGCACAGCCCAGGCAAGGACTTGTTGCCCTTGATGAAGGCTTCTGTGATTGGAGGGGCTACATTTATGGAAAGGAGGCTTCAGGGGGGAACTGACTCACCCAGGCCAGCAGCGTCTCCTTCTCAGCCACGTGGTAAATGAGGCGCAGGGGTCTAGAGGTGCTGTGCAGGCGGGCGTGCAGGCGGTGGTACAGGTCCGAGAGCCGCTGCCGCTCCTCCTCTCTGTTGTATGGGGCCTCGAGCTCGGGGCTGCCATGATGGGAGGGGGAGGACAAGGTTAGTCCAGGGGCTACTTGGCTGGTCCATCTTCTGTCTAGGGAACTTAACTAAGTTACACAGCTGAGCCTTTCCTATTAAACCTGAGGATTCTCAGTGACTACAACCGAGCTTTCCTACATCAAACTATGAGACTTGCTAGATATGATGTTCTCTCCACTAAAACAGGGACTCCTCAGGCGGGCAGCTGAGCCTATCATCAGAGAATCGCTCTACTTGTTCTGTTGAGAACATTCCTGGGTATCTTGCCTAAGTCATAACCACAGGATGCTGACCCCCCTGGTTAGAAAAATCTTTACCAGTTCCCACCTGGTAAACTGTGGCAGCTGGCGATGATGATCAGGGATGTCCAGTGGCTTATAGAGGAAGTGACGGAGGCCAGGTGCACCTACAGCCTGCACGCTGTAGGCAGGGGCACTGGCTTCCTGGGAACTGGAGAAGTTGGCAGCTTCCCCGAGGGCACGCAGGGCACCGAGGCTGCGCATTCCATCCTCCACCAAGCGCCGGCAGGCAGCCATGGCGTGGAAGGCTTCCCGGTGGGTGCCAAGCAGCAGCAGGCAGACAGGCATGGAATCCAGGCGGGCCACGTAAGCATAGAAGAATCCATCGGGGTTGAAGCGGGGCAGGCACACGGGTGCCCAGGCCTCACCCGCTGCAAAGGCTGGTGCCCCCACCCAGTCAAGCAGCAGCTGCAGGTCAGCTGGATCCAGCCGGCACTCAGCCAGCACGTTCCGTTCCTGGGCTGCTGTTATCAGTCGGCCGCCGACTGCCAGCACAGACAATGCCAGGCCAGGTGCCGTGCAGCGGCGCAGCAACGTGCCCAGTGCATCCCGCAGTGGGCGGGCAAGTGGCACGCAGCGCACGGCTCCCAGGAGCAGGGCCCCGGGGTCTCGCTCCACGTTGTCCAGAAGCCGGTCCAGTGTGCGCTCAGAGCCAGCCAGCAGGCGGCGGAGGTCGTAGTTCTGCTTGTGTGCGAAGATGCGGGCCACGCTCGCACGTGTCAGTGTGCTCACAATCTGTGCGTGCACAGCTAGTAGCTCCCCTCGGAGCTGGGCGGCTGACTGAGGAGTCCGTGACATGGCCACCAGCAGCAGGGGACCCTGCTGTAGGAACACCAGCTTGTGGTCCTCTGGAGGAGGATAGGGATAGAGATGGATCAAGAGTGATCAAGCACACACACACACACTACCTGGCCCCATCCACTGCACTGCTCTGGCACCTGTACTAGGGCAAGAACCAACTAGGGGAGTACAGACACCACAGTCACAGTGGGATGCTGAAAGACAGCATGGACTGGGGGTGGTGGGGTCAGATTGAAGCAAGGACTGACACTGAGCCAGCACCCAGCTCAGCCTACAGCCCGCACAGCCAGGCTCTCAGCACAGGGGCATCCAGCCAGTTACTCAAGAGATGCCAGGCACGCAGAACCCAGGCCAAACAGAGGACGGTGCTGACACAGAGTTAGACCCCGGCTCACCCAGGCTGGCTGCTGGTGCCGAGGGTGGAAGGCAGGCAGGCAGACAGACACACCTCCCGTGGCCGGCCAGCCTGCCACATTCCCAGTCAAGGCTCCTATTCTGCTCCCCACTCCTTTGCTCACCGGCGTAGATGGCGCGGATGTTATCCCCAGCGGTCTGCACGAAGGACACCAGGGCTGTCATCACGCCCATGGTAGCTGACAGCGCCTCCACGCTACCGTACCGTGAGTAGATGGGCTTGCCAGCCTCACTCAGCACAAACACATGCTTCCGTTGGTTGCGCCAGTCCTCGTCACTGGGGTCTCCTCCCTGGCCCCCACAGCCACTCTCTGGGCCATGAATGGGACTGCTGTCTGAGGCTGCAGAATTCCAGTGTTCACAGGTGCTTGATGGGACTTCTGGCTGGGGCAGTGGTGAGAGGCGGCTGGGTGGTTCATCCTCAGCTTTGGGTCCTAAAAGGAAACTCCTAGTGGGTCATCTGCCTATAGACCCCTCTAACCACATGGGGCTCCCAAGGACCCACCAAACCCTTTCCCCTCTCTCTACAATCCCTGTGTGTTGATAAAGAGTATCTCCCTTGCTTCTCAGATTGGTGAATCTCAGTGGGAGGGCTGGACCTCTCTAATGAGATCTACTAAGTTCCCACAATCCCCCGAAATCCCCAAATAACCCAGTTAGACTTTATTTCATTCACTAGATTCTCTGCATCTCTATAAGTCAGTTATTCTCTTTCTATTGCCATTTCCAAGTCCTCAAAGCATCTCACTGTCAGTGATCATTAACATCATCCTCAGTGACCCATTAACTCCTCTGACCCATTATTTATTCTCCTGGTATCTACTCTCCCCTTTGTGGCCACCATTAACATCCACTGATATCCGGTCTCCCCACCCTCTGACTCTCCAGTCTTTTATTTTCATGGGTATCTACTGATCTCTGACTCCTTTTGATTCTCTTGGTCAACTATTTATACTCTGAATGATATTATTTCTCCCAATGACTACCATTAATATCCACTAACAAGCTAGGTACACGAGGCAGGGGGACTGCAAGTTTGAGTTCAAGCTTGGCAACCTAGTCAGCCTCTGTCTCAAAATATGAAATACAAAAATAGAAAAGAGCCTTGGGTCCTGGGTTCAGTGTCTCACACTGGGGAAAAAATTCATTAACACATTGGTGTTCTAACTCCTACTCTCTTCCTCTATTTGCTTCCACTAAGATATTAACATCCTCCCAAGGACACCTCATTAACATCACTAAATCACTAATGTGTGTCTTTAAGGTCTCAATGACTGCCCTGACCCACAAATTATTTTACTGATCTTCAATAACGTAAATACTGAATGCCGCCAACACTCACTGATCCCCTTTTCTATTACAATGAGTTTACAATAGCTTCCACACCCACTTCCTTCACTCCACCAATGGCCACCATAAATCTTGCTTCATCCAGGACTTTTCATGACTTCCACCGCTGTCCTCTTGTTATGGTTTATGTTCCGATGGCCGACCCAAGCCTCATGTAATCATGGACACAGCTGAACCCAGCATTCGTGAATGGATCATTCTCTAGCACTGGGATTGGTGGTGTGAGTGCTATACTCACCCAGGAGCAGAGCAGATATACAGTGTAAGGGCAGGAAGAAGGTGTGTCTTTTCTCTTTTGCAAAGTTTGCTCTTGCTGTTTTGTGGGGACCAGGAAAGGGGGGCCCCACCATGCCACCCTTCCTTGGAGCCAGCTGAGTATGGACTGAAACCTACAAAATTTTAAGAAATAAACCTTTCCTTCCCTAATTTTGGGTGTCAGGTATTTTGTCTCAACAACCACAGAAAAGTAAGAAACCTGCAAAACCATTATTAACATTCATGAACACCCACAAGTTTAGTAACTCCTACTGCACCCTGACACACCCAGTTATTTCCATTGATGTCAACTGATTCGCCCAAAGACAATCATTATCCATTTGCAGCTATGTCTAACTTTCCCATAAGATCGCAGTGACCTCATTTTCCCTCAATAGCATTCAAAGACACTCCCTCATCTCCAAATACCAATTACTCCTCCTAATAACTGCCAGTTCCTGCCAGTGATTCCCAAGTCCTAAAAAGATCCCACCCATTACTCTCAGTGATGTCTGCTGACATTGCCCAGTGACCCCATCAACATCCACTAATTCTAAAATAAGTAGTAAACAGTGTTTCCCAATAACCTCCACTGATTCCCCCGTAGCACCTTCACACATACACAAATTGAACTGGTATTATAAATCTCCCTCCTCCCCTCAGTGATCACCTAGTTCTCCAAATCTTACTGGCCCTCTTCCCTCACTGATTACCATTAATATACATTAACATTTGGTTCCTTAACAACCCCTCAAATCCTCTACTGATTCTTCAATAATGCAGACACTGAATGCTCAGTACTCCCCACTGATTTCCTTTCCCATCACAATGATTTTATACCCCAGTACCCTCAAACACTTAACTTCTAAATAGTTCTTCCTTTGACTCTAGTCTTGTTCATTAACATAAATACCTTAGGCCCCCAGTGGCCCTGCCACCAACCAGACTCTTGTTGACTGTCAGTCACCTGAACTCACAACAAATACATTCTGGTTTGCCCAGAACTGAGAGGTTTCTGGGATAAGGTCTTCCAGTGCTAAAATGGGTATTTTCCTGGACAGGGATGTTTGATCCCCCACAACATGCATCTACCAGGACCACAGAACTGCACTTGGTGAACACCAGCGGATACCTACTGACTTCCTTTTAATTTCTTAATGATTTAAACTACACAAATTAGTCTACTATTACCTCCTCCTGACTTGGCTATGGTTCAAGCTACTTCCCGGAGTCCCCAAAGACTCCTCATTGATCTTCCACTAATCCTCTTTCTCCCTCGCCCAACAAGTCCTCCCTCACGCGCGCTTTCCTTCCAAGACCCTAGAGAGAGCAGCATATACCTGTTTCCTCCAGTTCTCCGTCTCCGGGATCCAGTGGGCCCGACAGAACTCCACCATCTCCAGTCTCCTCACTAGGGAACTGCGTGCCCTCCAAGTCCTGCGTGTCCTCCAAGTCCTGCGCGTCCCCAGGGGCTGGGGCAGCAGCGTCTCCGCCGGCCTCCATCTGCACATCCCTGGGGGGAAGGGGAATCGAGGCGGCAAAAGAAGGCAGGCAGCAAAAGAAACTTCTCAGAAGCCTTTACAGAGCCAGGCCCCCTGGACACTCCCAGCGCTTGTTTCCCCCACGGCTTTCAACCGGATGAGCCATTCAAAATCATGTCCAAATACTTGCACCCTCCAACGCTTTCCGCAGAGAGAGTTTCTAGTAGCCTGAAGGAAACAAAGATATATAAACACCTGTTTTAAGCTCTGTATCTCAAATGATCCTGACTCCCGAAGCCAGGGCAGCACCACACTTCCGGGTGCCGCTGAGGTTCGGCCACACTTCCGGAAACGGCGTCTTAGAGATGACACTTCCGGTTACGGATCTTCAGTCGCTCCCCACGACGCTTCTCTCCCGCCGCCCTCTCACAGTTACGATGGAGCACGCCTCTCCAGGATCTACTTCGGATCAAGTCTGGAACCCAGCGCACCCTTTTGTATTCTCCCAAGGAACCTGCTGGAAGTCGGAAGACGGGTGAGAGCGGCCCACGTCTCTCACCCTAGCTGCAGGCGTGAGGGGGGCGCGGCTCACACTCAGCCAATCGTGGAGCACAGAGGGCGGGCCTTTCTTCTTCTGACCCAATCAGGGGGAGACTGTCTCCTTCCTCCAGTCCAGTCCAAATCATACCCAGACTAGTAGTTGGCATCTGCTAGTGACGTCTCTCTGGGCCCACAAAGGCTCCAGCTTTTTTCTCTTTTCACTTGAGACATTTACAGCCTAAGCCCTAAAGGATACTTGCGCCGTTCCAATAAACGTGCTCCCCCACAACTGAGGTAACTTCATTCTTTAACCTCCAAGAAAGGCTGGAATGGGCTAAGACTTGGTGGGGTGGTGGATGCTTGACGAGCAGTTGTTGCGTCCAATCGGGGTGCGGCGCGCAGTCTGGTCGGCCTATGGAACTCGGATCCTGAAATAAGAGGCGGACCTCTCGGAAGTGGGAATTACTCATGAGTCCCCGCGATCATCCAAAAGGGTCGGCGGCCCTAGAGCAACGGAAGCTCGACCTCCGGACACCCTTGTGGCACCGAGATTGGAGTTGCGAAAGTAAAGATGCAAGATGAATAGTGTCTATCCAGACGTGTAAAAGTTCACCTTGATAGCACTTTTAAGTAAGGTGGGGTCTGTGGGCGGAACCATGCAGATTAGGCTTCCAGGCCAATCGGGGAGGGGGGCGTTGGTGGGCGTGGCTGTGAGGGGCTTCTACGTCTTCGTTGACTGAGGACCGCGCCGCGCCGCCCTCTGCACATCACTATTGGCTGACTGGACAAGGGGCGGGTTCGACGGCGCGCGGCCAGCTACGTTGGCTTGGAGTAAGAAGAACGTTGAGGCGGGATGGGATATTCCAGTCCCGGGAAGCGTGAAGAGCGGTGCAATACAAGGAACGCTGCGAGGGGCCTGGGCAGCCAGCAGAAGGCTCTCCAAGGTGACAGTTTAAGAAAGGGCGAGCGCGGGTACGGACCTCTTTAGCGGCTCAGGCTGTCTGTCTCTGGGTGACTATTTAGATCTGTGTCTCTGCATCTGTTTGATGTTCTCCAGGTTGCCTGCGCTTGGCCCTCTGCCACCTAAGGAACTCTGCACACCCAAAGCCACTAAGTGAAGCCCAGAGGGCCTGATCGTTTGGAGCCACGGCTCTGTCACCTGGGAACAGAATTCTGGGTAGGGGCGCGGCTGGGGCAGTGGTGGAGGGCGCTCCAGGCATCTCCTGATGTTGGACCGGCCAGACCCTCTTGGGCTGGGCGAATGGGAGGTCACTTCCTGGGATAAGTTCTAAGTGCCAAGTGCCGTGGCTTTCCCCCTGTGAAACACTGACTCAACATTATAGACCTGTGGGCTGAGGAATGCTTGGATTGAAGCGACTAAAGGTGCTTAGCCTACTTTGAGCCATTGCTAAGTGGAAGGTTTTGGTACTAGTTATTATTTTAATTATGATTAAGACAATGAAAACCAATTACTGATGTGGAGCCTTATATATAATAAGTAACGTAAGTCATATATAGTTACTGTAATATAAAAGCAATATATAAATTTATTTATAATACAATATATTTACCTAATAATTATAAAAATAGAATATACAAAACATATTAAGAATCACAAAATAACATAAGAAAATGTACATAGTGCAGAAAAATATGTAAATGCAGACAGTAAAACAATGTTATAAGAAATATATATAGCCAACAATATACTGTTAATATTCTTTATAAGGTAAAATTGATAAAACACGCTGTATTTTAAGTAATTATATGATTTAAGCATTTACTGATTTATGTAGTTAAAATGCACATGAATGTAGAATATAAGATAAAATACTTCGTACGCAGCTCTTAGGCCTGTGAACTTACTGTAGGTGGGTGAAGAGTATGCCCTCTTAAGACCAAGTGAAACATTTCTGGTATGCAGTGTTCAATGCATATGTCAGATAGATCACTGTTCCCTGGTTACAGTCAGATAGGCCTCTCTGAGTCTGCCTTTCGTCATCAGTACAGTAGTGATGTCAATAGTGGTACCTACCTTACATAAATATTCTAAGGTATTAAATGACCCAGTGTTACACCTAAATTAGCACTGGTATGTGATTGGCCATGACAATGTTACTTTATTAAATATTATTAAATCTTAAGAGTGTTATATGATAAATCATATACAGTGAAAATTACTGTATATATAGATGTTACACTAAATTATACATAATATAGATACTGAAATTATAGTTCCAGGACACTGATTGAAATGAGATGTGTTAAGGCATACAGCAGGGTCCCAGTCAGATGGACCCTTAAGAAGCCAGACGGTCAAACAGATGGATCAACCTCTGAGCATACAAACGCCGAGGCACACAAACTATCTCCTAGCGAGACACACAAGAGAGCCTCTTAGGTACAACAAGATGTCTGGTAGAGAGTGATCTCAGTATCATGAAGATGAAGAAGAAGCTCAAGATGCTAACTCCTAAATCACTAAAACAAGTGTTACATTGGAGAGAACTCAAACCAGTGACCAGATGCTTCCTCCTTTCTGTGAGTGGCATATCCCTGTGTTGTAAGTTTTATATTATGTGTTTGAAGCAACAGTTGCATTTTTCACCTATGTTTAAGACTGGTCCTGTATCTCAACAGATCTATGCTACAAGTAGGTTCCTTTTTAAAACTTGTGCTGACTTGTTCTGTGAAAGAAAGTGATTGTTTTTTTTTTCAGGGAAAACAGCAGAGCTAAGAACACCAACAACACAATCTCTTATCCGAAACACTTAGCACCAAATGTGCTTTGAACTCACAGGTTCTCCAGTCTTAGGCGTATGGAGTGGATTATAAAGTGCCTCCGCCCGGCTGGGCAGTGCCTGGTGATTACACTCATTCTCTCTCCATGGGAGTGATACAGGTGGGACCTCTCCATGTGAGCACACTTCACATTTTGCTGCCATTGAATTTACCAAAGATTTTCATCTGTGAGCTTTAGAGAAATTTCATCTGTGAATTTTAGAGAAAACTAAATGGTAAAAATATACTCACTGGCATCCTATGAGCGATGAGCTGTGAGAACAAGAAAAATATTTAAAGAAACAATGGCCCCAAATTTTCAAATTAATGAAAATTATAGGCACAGGTTTGAGAAACTCAACAAAATCTATGCAAGATAAAAATCAAAAGCTCACTAGGAAATATTACAAATATATTGCTGAAAACAAGGAAAAATGACAAAAGGTTGTAAAGAAAAAGTAAGATATGTTACACAAGAACAAAGATGATTTAAAGCAAATTTATGAAAAAACTTGAAATCAGAACTATGGGGAAATAATTTTATGAAGAAAATAAAAATAAATATGTTAAACTTATGTTTTATACTTTGTAAGATAGTCTTTCAAAATGAAGGCAGCATAAAAAGTTTCAAAGAAAAGCAGCAAGATTTTCTTCACTAGCAGGCTTCACACCAAGAAAAGTTAAAGACAATTCTTGAATAATGGATATTAAATAAATATAGTTGGAAAATTAATGTAAATGAATGAAGTGTTATAAAAGTGATTATTATCTAGGCAAGTGTTAAAAAGTGTTAACTTTCTAACATATAAATGGAAAAACAGCATATCATAATGTTTATAATATTTGTGGAAATAATACAAATGACAGCATTAGTACAAATGAAAGTCATAAATGATAGCACATTGTTGTAATGTTCTTTATATTATTATTTGAAGTAACACTGTGATAAAGAAGCATTTGTTAACCATAAGAAAATTTAAAAAGGATATATTCCAAAATGCCAAAAAGTAATAGGCCTAAAACTGAGAAAAGATGGAACCATAAATATAAGCAAGCCAAGAGAAAGATGAAAAAGCATAAAAAATGAATAAAGAACAGATGGGACAAACAGGACAAATGGTAAGGTGGTCAACATTGTGTATTTGTAACTGAATGAAGTATAAGTCAACAGGTCAGTTAAAATACAGATTGTCAAACCGTGAATAATAGCAAGGGCCAACTACCTACTTACTAAAAGAAACTCAATGTAAGAATATGGTCTACAAAAAATATAAATAAGGACCTCCTTAAATACATGAAAAGGTATGGTTTAAAAGTACCCTGACCAAAAATCTTAAATCACATGATGACATAATGAAATCAGACAGATCACAGTAGCAGCAGCAGCAAATAGATGTCAAGATAAGGTACACTAAAGTGAGACATAGCACCATGATAGAGAGGTCAAGACCATGTTTTCATTTAGAAGACATAATTAAACTAAAGACGTACACATCGGAATATAAAACTGTAAAGTACCTGAATATTAAACTGATAGCACTGGAAGGAGAAACAGACAACTCCAAAATGACAGAGATTTCAGTGCTACAGAAACTGATAAAGTAGGAAGGGCAGACAAAAGCTAAGGCACAGAAGATGTGAACAGATACAGGCAGAAATGATTTACCTGTTTGACAAACATGTTCCCCCCAGTCACGGCACAGGAGACGTTCTTCTCCAGTACTTACGGCACATTTACAAGGTAGATCACCCCCTGAAACACCAAGTGAGTGTGAATACACTTTTAAAAGGTTAAATCATACAGATTGCTCCTCAGTCACAACACAGAAATAGCTCTTTTGCAAAAGAGAAGGGGACTAGGAAACACAGGGGGAGGGAGAGGGAGAAAGGGGATGTAAAAAGAGTTAAGATGTGTTATGTCCAGCAGTGACTCTTCCTCGTGAATGCAATTATGTGCTGCAAACATGTAGCAATAAAAATTACAATGAAAAAGGAATTAACAGAGAGCATCTTGGACTTCCAGGTAATCAGAAATTAAGTCACTGTGTTTCGTATTAACACATGAATCAAATAGTCAATATTATAGGATATTAGAAAATATCCTTAACTAAATAAAACTAAAAACACAACAAACATTTGGAGGATGCCAAGTGGTGCTCATAGGGAAATTTATGAGCATATGCTTAAAAATAGATGAATATTATAAACATACAACTATTTCTTCATGTAAATATACGAATAAATGCCCATAATAGTGTTCTGCTGTGAGTTTAAGAAGTTGGGAAATGGAAAGGAAAATTAAATGTGAAATAAGAAATAAGGAGATAATATGGAGTGGAATTCAGTGAGATAGAAAACAAAACCAAAAGAACCAATGGAAAAGTATTCAGTTGTCCAAAATGTCCATGTTACTAAAATTTGTGCATAAATGATAAGAGGGGAAATCAATTGTCAATACTGGAATTGAGTCACGTGAAGAGAGCCTCTAGACATTACAATATAATATTAAAAATTACTTCAAAAATTTTTTTAGTGGAGTATAGATAGATACGTCTGTTCAGTTACATGTGAGGAATGCAAAACCTCAAATTCCATACTAGAGTTAGCAGGGATCAGCCATGTGATTCACAGATGGGAAAACTGGTGCAGAGGAAGTGATTTGGCCTGGGGCCACCTGAGAGTAAGTGACTAAACCGCCGATCTAACAGCCAGTCCTGGACTTGTGCCTCTGGATGGACAAAACCAGGCTTTTGCTACTGTTCTCCCCTCAGAGGAGATTTTAGGGGCATCCCTTGGAAAGCTGACGGTCAAGCAGATTGCTGGGGACAAGTAGGGTTCCTCTAGAAGGAAAAAGAGACCTCATTTCTTTGCTTACATAAATACCGTGGTCCTTCAAAATAGACCAGTAGGTGGCGTAAAAACCCATGCTGCCTCGACGTGTAGACTCCTGCTCCGAAGATCCTTGAACTTTTAAAAATCTAGGGAAGCTCTGAGGTCAGCTCCTCTGCCCGGCGAGCGTGAAGCATGAATCAGGCACCATCGCAGTCTCTGTTAGGAACACACTACTAACAAATCAGCCCGCCTGACCTCCCTGCCATAATCTCGGATCTGGGGTCTCTCAAGACTTGTTTACCTCGCTCTTCTCTGGATTAGGATCCACTACGAGAAAACAGTATACTTCAGAAAGCACTTTTGGTAGTGCCTGAATGTGCCCTTCCATGTTTTCTACTGGAATTTTCTGGAAAATAGAGATTATTGGACAATTGAAAATGATTTCTCAAATGTCTAGAGCGATGGAGGAAAGAATTTTTGCAATCGGAGAGTTCATCTATCCCTGAAATTAATTCAGTACTGTACTTCTAACAGTAATAAGAGGTGACGTTTATCCAATACCCTGTGGTGGGTACCCTATTCAGCACTATATCTGCGTAAGTTTAATTGTTCCAGTCAATTCTATGCTGCTATAATAAAATACTATAGCATTTATAATAACACTACATTTATTTTCTCATAAATTCAGAGATTGGTAAAATAAGATCAAGGGCTGGGATGTGGTAAAGGCCTTGTCACTGCATCTTCCCAGGCAGAAAGTTCAGAGGGAAAGAGAAGCGCGGGCTTGGCCTGTCATGGAGAACCCGCCCTCACTCAGCGTATGTCCAGAGGGAATCAGTGTCCTGAGGATAGTGGTGCATGCTGTGTACCCGGTGGACTTCTATGCAGTCATAAAAGGGTGAAATTCTCTCATCTGTAGCAGGAGGAATGGAAATTATAGAAGGACACTATATTAAGTGAAACAAGCCAGAGTCAGAGAGATAAACATCACAGGGTCGCGCTGTTGTGTAGAACCTAAAAATTCATCTCTCAGCAGTGAGAGTCGAGAGGTGGGTTGTCAGAGTGAAACACTTAAGGACAAGAGCCTGACATGACATAATTTTTAAAAAATTGCCTGACGTAGCAATTCCACTAATTTTTTAAGCCTAATATTAGGCATTCCTGCAAAAACTATACTAAAATATATTTACTTATTTATAAAATATATTTATCTATGATGACACCCATCACATCTTATAGTTTTACAGTCAGTAATTTTTTCTTTCTAGTTGTGTTGTGCCCTACAAATTCCATATTATGTTTAAATCATTTGCTTTTGGATATGAATTTAACTATTAGAGCAGAATCAAAGCACCTAGTGACCCGGAACATTATGCAAAGACCTTAATTTTTCATTGTCTTGGGCTTTAGACATTTTTGTCGCGCTTTTTCTGTCAGAATGGGACAGCTTTGCTTACTTTAGATAAGGCTGCCTCAGCATTTCCAACATGACCTGTTAATATTAGGACACTTTACAAGCTGGCTGTAACCCACATCCTTAGAACTGAGAAGCACCTGTGCCTTCTGAGATAGAAGTGCACCCCACCTGTATTTTTTTCCTAGAAGCATGGCATGCTATTCTTTCATAGCGTGCTAGATTTTTGGGGCTCATGTGTCTGCCACCATACACAGACTGCTTTACGTGCATGTAGTGATCACCATCTCCAGCTGCTCGGTGTGACAGTGTTTTTTTATTTTTATTTTTTTTTTTTAGGGGTATCTTATAAGATACCCATTCAGTCTGAATTACTGATGCCCACCTGGACACCAGGGAATCTGTACTACAGAGCGGTCTAGGTCTCCTCATTTCTCTAAGAAAGGGGGCAGTTGAAGCCTCAGGGAAAACTGTAAGTGGAGTCCATGTGTTTGGATGATGCCCCTGGGCTTTATCACCCTGTATTTTCCACATGTCCTCAAGTGTGGTGGGAGGCTGACCTTTGCCACCTGCCTACTTGCCTGGGAATTGCTAGATGAACCCAAACCTGAGAAAAACCAGGCTCAGAGACCAAACAATGAAATTCAGACCCTAGACCTCCAGAGAAGGTTCTGGTTTCTGCTGACTCAGTCCTCTGTCCATTTTCACTTCCTGACCAGGCTACGTGAACAAAGATGGGCTGGGTAGGCTGGGCTCTTTCCATTAAATTTCCCAGCAGTTCTGAAATGCTCCAAGAGCCTTATAGAGACTAGTGGGCTTATAGGGATTGGGAATGTTCACAAAGATAAATACCGGATTGATGTCCTAGGAGGATGTCTTCTTATCCAAGGAACTAACCTGAAGGGTGGAAAAGAGAACTTAACGATTTAGGGGAATGAAACTCCCAAACTAAAATCAAAGAATGAATTTTAAAAAACAATAGAGGTTAAATGTAGAAAATATTTACTGAGAGAAAGAAAGCTTCTACCTGAGAGAGAGAGACAGAAGGAGTCTCCAGTGGGTGGCCAAAGACTCTTGTCTTTTCCAGGGATTTTTATAAAGTAAAACTAAGATGAGGAAAACCTGGGAATTCACAAAGTGGGCATAAGGTGGTGCAGAACTATGGTTAACCAGTAAGACTAATTGCTCAGGTAAAATTATGTTTAAAGAGCAGTAACTCTACCCCTACGGAGTTGGGATGGTGACTCCTGGCTTCCTCAGGGTGATAGAAACCTATTTAGAATATCAGTCCTTAGGATGTAGGTGCAATTTGTTTGACCTTTTGTCTTGAGACCTGGCCCACAGCAGGAGGTGTCTGTCTCCCCCACAGTTGCAAAGTATCAGGGCTTCTATACTGGCTCCTTTGAGGACCCAGCCCTGTCTGACTACCTCTAATATTTCTATCTAACTCAGTTGTCTGTAACAAAATACACAGTAGAAAGGAAGGAAGATGAAATGTGGTGGAAACCCATCACTTTGAAGCACATGTGTATGTCACACAGATAAACAGAAGGCTACTGAGTGCTGGCATTCTGGCTGATGTCAGCAGAGTAGACACAGATGCTACATACATCCTGAAGCCCGGATGGTCTCACAATGAACAGCCATTTCTAGTAATCCTAGTACGGAGGTTGAAAATGCTGTACACTAGCAAAAAGAGCTTTGTTATTGCTCGTTATTTTTGTATTATGCCAAAGTACCTGTAATACCGCCTACTGTTCTGTATATGTTTTTTTTCCCCTTCTGGGTGACCTAATTGATATGTTAATCAATGTTCCCCTCTGTAAAGAATTGTAAATCCCTGGGAACCTAACCTAATTGATATGTTAACCATTGTTGCCCTCTACAAATAACAGATGTGGTGCTAAAATAAGCTGACAAAGAATTGTTAATTACTGCTAGACTTCTCTGTCCTCTGCTAAGGGAAACCTTTCCTTAGCAGGTTTCCTTATCCATGCCCATAACCCCTTACTTTGTGAACTGTGATATCTACAAAAAGTCTGCAAGTTTTGAGGGGGACACACAGCTTTTGCAAACTCCAACTGCACTGTATCGCTGGGCCCAGGATAAAATAAATCAGCGCTGCTTTTAAAAAAACATGTTTTGCCCCATTTTTGGACTCAAATTTGGGGACTCTGGGGGGCTCGTTTGTGGATTACAAGACTGAGCAGTAACTGGTTCTTGGTTTTTTTTTTCAGGCTTAAAAATATCAATAGTTATTATAAAGTCTCTTTCTCATATGATAAAATTATTTTCAGGTAGATTGTATGTATAGAGATGAAAGATGACTCAGCACTGATCTAAAATAATACAGGAAGTATTTACATGATGTACTGGTTGATGACATTTCAACAGGACACATACATACATTGACTCTTAATGTGACAACATTATACTTCAACAAAATTTACATTTGTCAATACACATCATCAGAAAGGGAAAAATTAAATCACAAGATAGGAGAAAATTCTTAAATCACGTGCTAATAAAATACTTGTGTCTAAAACAAAGGATGATTTTAACTCAACAATAAAGTGATGAATAACAAGTTAAAATGGACAAAACATTTCAATGGATATTTTGGTAGAGATAATATATTTATGATCAACAAACAAATGAAAGGATGTTCATCATTATATGTCATTATGAGGAAAATGTAAATTAAATCTATAATGAGAAACCACTTCATACCCACTGGAATGGCATTAAGTGTCCATATGCTACAACATAAAATAGAATTCTCAGAAGTAGTAGACTAAGTGACACTTGCCACATACACTACATACGCTACTTAATGATTTCAGTTTGAGGCATTAAAGGGGAAGTTGCCAGGGTTTGTGGGGAAAGTTCTGGAATTGATGGCCTCAGTGATAAGGTTCTCTATGTCCTGTATTAAGCTATGTGGCCAATCATGGTGTTATTCAGAGCTATCAGACTTCAGAATCAGTGATGGAACATGTACGCTGAATTATAAGGATTGTAGTAACAGGATAACCTATTGTGGTGGCAACTCTTGTGGAACATAAATGTAATTATGATGGTATGAAAGCAAAGAAGACTGTTGTCAGGGAAGCCTGTAGGTTAGGCAAGAGGCAGGGGCCCAGTAGCCTTCCCATCAGGAGAGCCAATGCTCTTTCCTTTGTGGAACCTCCTTTGTGTGGTGGCAACTCTTGTGGAACATAAATGTAATTATGATGGTATGAAAGCAAGAAGACTGTTGTCAGGGAGGCCTGTAGGTTAGGCAAGAGGCAGGGGCCCAGTAGCCTTCCCATCAGGAGAGCCAATGCTCTTTCCTTTGTGGAACCTCCTTTGTGGAGCCTGGAGTCTCCCCAGGCTCACTAGTATCTGATGTGCAGTGAATTATGTGAGATTATAGTACTTTATACTCACAAGCATGGTAAAGTGTGTCAGATGTACTAGTGCAAAGCAAAGACCAGAAGGAAGTCACATCCATTGTGTTCACTGAGTTGTGATGTATAAAATAATTTGAGGCGTGAATATTTTCACTCCTAGATCTCTCCCCTTCTCTATCCAGAAATCGCACTAACCTGGGAAAGCTTAACTTTTCTTAATACCCAGTGGTCTGGGAATGCACCGTAAAAGGCCCTTGGTCCCATGGACAGGATTCATAGTCTTAGCTCCTCTTCTAGAATGGGTCTCCTTTCCACTGCTGGCTGAGGCACTCCACAGCCCCCTTAGTTCTGCAAGGCTTTTGAACTCCACTGGGACTATTTAATCACCCACATTGTTTTCATCTTTTGAGTACATTCATAAGGGATTTACAGGCTAATTATGTATTCACAAGCTAATGGTTTTCTTTATAATAGTCACCGACTTCACCTACTCTTAGGTTGTATTTGTTTACATTACTTTTTGGGAGTACACTGCTTGTGATTTAAGTTTTTAAAGCACTAATTATTTTGAATTACTCTCAGGTTTACAAAAAAGTTGTAAAGAGAGTGCAAATACCTTGTATAACAATAGTACCTTTGTCAAAACTATGACATTAACATTGGTGCAATACTGCTACTTAAAGAATATATTTTATTTGGTCTTACATTTTCCCACTTAGGTTGTTTTTCCTTTCCCTGATCAAATCCAGGATGACAGATTACATTAAGTCTTCATGTGCTATTTAGTGTTTTGTAATATGTGACATTTCTCTGACTGTCTTTGTATTCAGACAGCTATAAAAATGGACTGGATG